CACCAGAAGACTTCATGTGATCCCAGCAATCCAACAAATCCAGAGTCTGTTGCAAGAGAACGTAAAACTACCTTCCCAAGGGAGGTGCCTGGTCATCTCCTGAATCTATATTAATCCTCTGGGCCCTGTGTTTTTCAGGACCCTCACCATTGAGAAGATCAGAAGAACCAGACCCACGGGATGCTGCCAAGTTCCATGGAGTTGTGATACTTTTTCTATTTAATCTCTATCACTGTCTTTTTTCCCACACTGCTTTTTCCTATTTCTCTCTATCTCTCTCTGTCTCACATTTACTGTTAAATAAAATCTGTACTATTGACTTTGGCATCTGGTCTCATTTGCATCTTAATTCGGGCAGAGGCACCTCTAATAATTTTAATAACTGGATCATAACTACTTGTTCGGTCAAACATTTTGGAGTCTTCTCCCTGGAGTCATAAATGTATCTGTTTGCTTGATGGTCATCTACCAGCATTACAGATGTCTGGGATTTCTGCTTTGAGAAGGGAATTTGCATATCAGGAAAATACATTGAAATCATCCATTACAAGAACTACTAATGGAATTATTTCCCACTTCACTGACCTGTTGCATGTCCTCAGTCTTCTCAATGATGGGAATATATATCCCCTCTTCCTCTGTGAGAAAGTACTCAGATGTAATCTTCCATGAACTCTTCCTTCATTTCTTCTATGAGAAATGATAGAAAGAGATTCCTTTGAAGGTGATTTTTGTGTTCAAAGGATTTGCAACTTTCTGTTGAGTTTTTTTCAACTAACATTCTCTGTACAACCAGACATCTGCTTCTGCCATTACTGGCACTTGTAGGGATAATTGGAAATACTCTAATTTAAATAATTTCATGTAGTTAATGTATATTGGAGTCCTTTTTCTTTTTGTTCATTTATGGTGAGATCCATCATTCATAGGTCTATGTGACTTTATCTCTACTAGAAAATAAAACACAGACATAGCACAATTCAGCACTGACCCATAGTTGCCTATATTGTTTGCTAATGTGGTCCCTGGTGATGTTTTGACTTGTTCCAAATTGTCTATGCTGGGTGTTTACTCTCTGTGTCAGTTTTGGACAATTTCAGGTACAGCCCTCTTAAACAATGCCTCAGACCAAATCAGGAGATGGCATGTGTCATGTAGTGTCCCAGTGAGGCAGTATGGATGGTGGTAATAACATTTTCAAGGAAAGAAAATTTTTTTTGATAAATAGGAATTTTACTGTGTTCTTTGCTTTATTTTAGCATTAGGCATGGTTTGCAAGACTGGAATTGTAAAACAAATAGTCTGTTCTTTGACTCGAAGAAGAGGTGAAAAATTTCTTTCTGAATTCTGAATTGCAAAGTGGGAGGAAAGAAAGCAAAGAAAGGTCCTGAGAAGAGAATGTGGGACTACAACAGGACAAATTAGAGGGAACAGAGAGAAGAGATCAAATAACAGAGAATAATTATTGTTTAGCATATTTCCCTATAAAACCCGAAGCTGAATTCAGTAGTGTCTTGCTTTCAGCAGATATGTAATGCTGAATCTCCTCTAAATCATCCAAAGATTTTGTTTTATCTCCAGTAACGAGCATCTTATTTTGAAATTTAAGGGTCCCAATGAAGGATTAAGTGAAACTAGGCTATAGTGAGCCATGTGAATTTGTGAGTTTTCCTCAACAAATGGTTTTTAACTTCCTCCTTTAAAATAAAATTTCAAATTCAAAGACTAGAAAGTCAGAAATAAAGATTCTGTTATCTCTTGACTCTTGGCTTTGTGTTGTCTTCTGTGCTGGAAGATATTCAGGGAATGAGTTCATTGGTTACAGGAGGAAAAATGTAATCTCACTATCTAGTGGTGAATGATACTTCTCCTGAAACAGAGGTGCAACATAATCTTAGATGTGTCATGTGCACAAACTAACACCAAATTAACACTACTGATCAGGCATTAGGTGCATCTCATCTTCTTTAGTAAAATTACAATGCGTTAAAATGCTGAACATTTACATCTAAGGATGAAGCTGGTCAAGAAGATACTTTGAGCAGATAAAGTTCATACAAATACTTTTAAAAAAGGATGTTTAGACATTTCAAATCACTAAAACAAAATTAATCACCCCCAAATCTTCGTGTGCCTCTGTTCTTTCTCTGTAGAACAAGAATACTTGTGTTGGGCTGATCTCATTTATGTGAATATCCCTACAGATTGTACTGCTAACTAGCATTAAAAATACCCTAAGCATTTTAGTAACACTGCATTTAGAACTAAATTAAATTTTCACTCATGGAATAAGATTAAAAATAGAAGTATCTGTATACTGTAAGGTCTCAAGGCCTTACAATGTACAGTCCTATTACATTAAAATATACATAACAGATATATTACTATTAAAAGCAATCTTTTTAAAAAAACCCAGTTATGGTGTGTCATACTGCAAAAGTTTAAAATCTTGTCTTGTGTCTATAGCCTGAATGTGTCTGAATGTAAGATTTGGTCATCTTCTGCCAAGGAATCTACCTTAAAGATGTGCTTTATCATCCTTGAAAAGTTTTAAAATAAAACTAAATATATTTAATCCTGGCAACTGTTACAGTACTACACAAATCTCTCAAGCTATTTGGAATTCCTCTGGCTCTTGTCTGCTACCTCTCCAATTTCTTTGCATCATCAAATCTGTTATCAGAGTTAACTGTTTTATTTAAAACTGTGCATCATTGCCAAATACCAAAATAATTTATAGTCTCTATGTGCCTTTTAATAATCTCCTGATGGTGTAGAATTACACTAGTTATTTTTTCAGTGACTTTGTGCAGGAAGGTCGCTTTTTCTCTTACTCAGCATGATTTATATATTTCATTGTGGTTTTTTGCAACATCACATTTTGGCAAATAGACTGCTTTTCTCTGTTTGTTTGAGCTGTTTTCCTTATTACCAAGGAAATGACCATGACTTTGAACTGCTTTATGCTTAGAACCTGTCCAGTTCATAATTACCTTATCAAAATGTTGTCCCTTACACATATTATTGCAAGCAATTAAGATACTTTTTTTAAATCAATTTTTTTTTTTTTAAATAATAATCCAGGTATTGTCACTATCCTACAAGAAGCATTTCCACTGAATAGTAGACTTATCTCAGTTAAATTTTGATTTGGAATCTATCTGGCCAGTTTACGTGTGCTTAAAATACACCGTATTATTTTGAATAGTTTTACTTGTTTAATCAAGTTTTTGTGCAACATCAGATCACTTCCTTATGACTTATTACAACAGCCATACTGTCATCAAGATTGGAAATTTCAGAGCAAGCATTCATGTCATTTGAAACATATTTTCCATAACACTTTTCCCCTTTAAAATTATTACTTCATAGAGCTACCTACAAACCATATAAAAAAAAGCATGTTAATTGCAGTTCAGTTTATAAGATTCCAGTAAGTAATACCTTGCTTGTGGTTTTTCTTTTAAATGGCTAAAGCTATCCATGTAGCAGTTTTCTATTTGTTGTCTGACCATGCTAAAGCAAACTACATTGATGAAATATTTATTCCATCATCATTATGTGATAGGATACATTACATTAATATGTTTTCAGGGGGCAAGTATAGGTGGAGTAAAACATGAATTAAATAAGCAGAGTCATGTCATAGAAAATTACTCTTGGGAATGAGTCACTGAATTTAAAGTTAGGGATGTGTTCTAATTCAGATTGGATCTGAACTTTTTCAGTGAGTATGATAACTTTGATCAAAAGTTTTAATGCAGTTCCAAATGAAGAAAAGAACCTATAAAACAATTTGAATTAGATTTTAATGCAACTGAATTATATACTCTGAAATTATGTCAGGTACCTTTTGATATGTCAGGTATCATGTGTCATAGTGCAATAGTTTTCCATTTTTTTTTCCATTTTAAGCACAGACTAGCGTAGTACAGTGTTCATGGGAAGAGAAGCAATTTTGAAAATGTATGAAACTACTCCTAACTCTTTGTAGTATATGGATTACTTTTACCCTCCTAAAATGAAACTGAAACTTATGATTTATTACGTTTTGCTTTCCCCTGAGGCAATATGAACATACGTCTAGCAAGGTGAATGTTACAAAAAAAAAAAAAAAAAAAAAAGCTACATATATTAAAATAACTTGTTAATGCATGATTATGGTCTTGACTACTGAAATAAAAATAACCATTTATCTGAATCAGTGAAATCATAAAATACCCAATCAGAGAGTATACATATGGGAGTGTTTATATATATAATTTCTGATGTAAAGAAAAAGAAAAAATATATTATTATGTGTTCAGAAATTACTAGAAAGATGGTATTCTATTCAGTACTGTTCATCTTGTTCCAGAAAAAGTTCCCGACAAGTGTATAATTGAAGTGCCATTATTATATTGTCAGGCACCATGAGTAACACGTTATTGAAATCTCAAATTCAGCACACTGTTAAACATATGATAGGTTTCTCTAGAAAAATATTGATAAATGTTTATCTTCTTTGTGCAGTCAAATATGAAATGCAAAAAATTAACTATTTTTTATTAACTAGAAATCTTTCAGCGTATACTGCAAAAAAAAAAAAGGTAGAAATCTGGAGATATAAATTAGGAAACACTGACATTTTTGATTGAAAAATTAGAATATGCATCATGCATACATGATAGCTATAAAAATGCACATCTCAGAGATCTTCCTGTAGTTTTCCTATGTCAAAACAAAGCAAAACTTTGTAAAAATGTCTCAGGGATAGAAAAACTTACTAAAAGTCTACATACACAGCTCACAAGTTTTGCTCTCTGTAGTAAAGAATTAAGTAATGCCTATGAATCAGTGTTGAATGATACTTCAGAACTGAATTTGATCACTCTAATTCTAGGCTGCCTTTGAGAATTACTTTTTAAAAAGTAAATGAGGATCTAGGAACATCTTCTGTGATCATTTAGATATTGTATTTTCACCTAAATTTATTTCTTCTACAATTTTTTAAAGCACAGAACTGTTACACTTCGTAGACAACCAGTTGGTGGCTTGGGCTTAAGCATAAAGGTATGGGTAACTTCTCATTTCTTCTTTTAATTTCAGTATAACCACTTCAGTCTTGAGATCTCATGGTTAATATGCCTCTCTTACAGGGTGGTGCTGAGCACAAAGTGCCTGTCGTCATATCAAAAATATTTAAAGACCAAGCAGGTAACTTATGTTATTTACTTATATAGTGCTGTAGTAAGTAATAGTTTCAGGAATCATTTTTTACTGCAGAAACAAAACTATGACACAGGAAATCTACTGATGTTCTTAACTTTAATAATGCAGAGGATGCAAAAAATACAAACCAAATATATATTTTCCACACACAGTAATTCACTGATATATGGTATGACTAAGTTGCTTAGATACCAGCAGAGAGTCATTTGTAATGTTTATTATGATAAAGATAGCACAAGATCTAAATCAGTATAGTCTATCCTAATTAGGTATTACATTGACATTTACATAGCAAAAGGAACCTTTGGGAGACCATGTCAGTCCTCAGACTTAACTTGGCACGTTGGAGAACTGGTCTGGAAAACAAAGAGGCTCTTCTGTAAGGAAAAGTAGAACTCTTGCATGTGGGTGGGCACAGCCTTGCAACATGAACTGAGGTTCTTAGCTGACGAAAGTAAAGTCTCTTCTCTGGTGGACACAGATATGGGGATTAGTTTGTTCTTTTATTTTCTGAGGCATTCTTTTACATATTTGAAAAGGAGTTGTCTTTATGTGGAAAGCTTCTATATGTTACCTCTCTTCCATACAGCAAGTCAACCAATTTCATGTATCCTTTCCTTCAAAAACAGACAGTGCTGCATTGTGAACCTCAGTGCATGTCCTGCTCTTTCAAGGACTCAAAGCCAGTGATATGATCTTTTGAACTCATCAGGCTCTTTTCCTGCTTTGCTGCAATGGGGATTAAGCACATTTGCTTGGCACCATGGTTAGCCTTGTGCTTTTCTAGGTTGCAGACTGTGCTTGTTTTTTTCCTCTACATTTACTTCAGGGGGCCCTTATTTTACTTGAAATGTAATAGCCAAACTTGATAATCCATTTTCATCTCATATCTAGTGAATATTGTCTATGCCAGTACCCTGCTGGAAACACTCCTTCAAGTCTCCTGTGTACAGTACTTAAATATTTCAATATAATGGTTTATTTTATAATAACATTTCTGCAGTGAGGCAGAGAAGGTGTTTTTATGTCAGTTGTGTTACTGTACATGAAAGAGTAATAGGGTCCTTAAGTACACACTATAATAAACCATACCAATAAAAGAAATGCATAATAATAATAAGATGAATATAAGCATTCAGGTCTAAGGAAAGTAATTCAGGAAATTATTCAGCAGCAAGGGAAGCTATCTCCTGCCCTCTTAGGGCATAGTGCTCTTAACCAAGTTTAGTAGTGGTTTGTATATAGAATACTTATATTCAGAGTTTGTGCATCATGGTTGTTTTTCTTGAACTGCATTTATTTCTAGAGTAACGAGTGTAACAACATTTTTATGGGGTCAACTGTCAGATTTGAATATGTCTCCTGAAACAATACTTGTTTTAAGATCTTGTAACCTTTTGTCCGAGTAAACTCCAAAATGAGTAGTGGTTATAACCAGAGGCAGTGCTGTATCACAGCAAGCCTGAATGAAATGTTCCTGGATGGATCAGTGAATAGCATGAAGATATTGACACATTTGGCAAGGTGTGAAGGAAGTAGTCTATGTAGAGTCAGTTGCCCCACTGGCATGAAGAGAATCTCAGGCTTGCTTTCAGCACATATTGGGGTTTGTTCAGGTGTACTCCTGAGGTCCCTTCCAGCCTGAGTGATTCTGCCATTCATTTAGTTCTGCAGATGCTAAAGATCAGAGAAACAAAATATAAATGCTTTTTGTGGCACATGGCACATCCTGGATTCCCATTCTGGTTACTGAATGTCTTTGCAACAGAAATAGTGTAAAGTTTTTTGTTTATTTCTTTCTTTCTTCCAGAAAATGAATATTTATAAAAAAACATGAAAAGATTTTCAGCAAAATTTGGAAGTGCAAAACCTTATTCTGCAAATCTTTTTCTTTGGAAATCTTATCTCACAAGTCTTGAAGTGCTGCTGCTATTCAGTATAGGAGGAAGATAATAACAAAGGCTATTCACATCATTACTTTTCTAGTATCATATTTAACTGATAATTAATAGTGACAGAATATGTCCAAGGGTAACTCATTGGTGACCTTGAGGGAATACTTCTGGTTTAAGATTCTAGTGTTTTAATGCAAGAGAAAACAATCTGGTAATATTATTTACAGGAAAATAAGAAGTATTCTAAAAATATGTACGTTCTTTCTCAGTATATATATATAATATATATGAATGTACAGATAAGCATACGAAAATACAGATGTATTTACATATAAAACAATATCAGGAAAAATATATGTGTTGAATATAATGGGAAGAAATTTCAAGCATGAGAGAGAGACGATGCTCTTGCAGGTTTACCTCAAACTTAATTTTGAACTGAACATTTTATATTCATGATGTGGCAACTTCACTAGTGGTCTTTCATTACATAAGGTACTAATAACAGGGAAAGTGATAGGCTGGCTTCAAAAGTGGCTTTGAGTTAAGCAGTGAGGTTAGTTGCTGCTTTCAGGCAAATATACCTAATTTCAAAAAAGAAAAAACTTATATCCTGCAGTACTGTTTGAAAGTACCTCATAGGCCTACAATGATTTCTTATCAGGGATTTTTACTATTTTGGGTCCTTGAGTAAAACCCTTGAATTTCTGTGAGTAAAATTGTCCTTAATGAGTAAAGAATTGATTTCCTAAAATGACTGATAATTTGCAATACTTTTTATGACACTTAATGCCCGCTGAATGACAACACTAAAATCATGCTTCCAACTTTACTTTTTTCAGAGAGAGAACTATTTTTTAGTTCCAAAGCTAGAAACCTAATAGAATAAAGGAGTTGCTTTTTTTTTAGATCTCTTTGGGCTATCCTAAGCAGATTAATTAGTCATATATATATATATATATATATATATATATACATATATAATTTTTTCAAATAAAGAAGTGATTCTCTTCGTGTTGACCTAAGCATCAGCTGATCGCATTTGCACTTCTGTTTTTTATATGGGATAAACAATTTTTATTCTGTTTTTTATATGGAATAAACAAGTCATTTCATTATTCAACACAAGCACTTCTATATCAACACTGTTAATAAATACTATGCTTACAGTTTTGACCTCTCAGCTGTGATCACTGTGTTTCTAAATTTCGGAGTAAGCTGTCCTGGCTCACTCTTCAGTAAGACTTGCCTGAAGAAGTTCACTGAAACATACACAGAAGCTCAGTTCAAGTGCATAACTTTACATTTCTGAAATACAAGATAAAGTGGTTAGTCAGGCCTGGAGTCTAATGTGCAGTGTGTTGCAAATCACTGTAATGATGTCCTGAATTTTTCCTGAAAACATCCTGCTCAACAGTATTAAGAGCAAGTTTTGCTAATGCAAATGACTCATCACCGAGTTTAGGCCTTTTAAATTTTTTCTGTAGATTTTGTCTTCCATTCTAACAAAGTTTTTTTCATACCACCTAAGCTTTTGCTAAAGTAAATTGCAGAGAGACAGAAGTCTTGTGCCAGACAGAATGAGAACAAGTAAATGCAAACACAGTTATAAATTTAAAAGTAGAATGGTATAATTAGCTACAGAGTAATTTTAATCCCGTAGATAATTTTTTCACTTCCAAAGCTGGGACTTTTTTTCCTACCTATATATCAATTCATCTGGTTGACTCAAGATATTAGCAACATTACTAATAATCTCTGAGATTATAAAAAGAAATATTGTTGTTCAACTTTCTCAGTAATATTTTATAAACCTGATTTAGGCTTTCTCTAGAACTGGGTTTCGATTTTTTTCTTTTTTTTTTTTAATGTAATTTATTGCAGTATTGTATTTCCTCTGTTTTCCTTTTGAAACTGGCTTAAAATGGAGTTCATTGTACTCTCTCATTGTACAACAGTTGATGATTTGATAATAGCTTATAGGTGTGTAGTATTTTTATATATGTGTTATAATTAATATTACCAGTTTATTTGTGGTAAAGGCTGCTGTAGGTTTGCAGTCAAATAAATGTAGAGTCCTACTCAGTCCTGTTACTGAATATCCTGAACTTGGAAAGGAATGATACTGGTCAGGTTTACTTATTTTACAGTGAATCCATGAGATCCATTGAAAGTACTTCAGAGAATCTTTAGATGGTAAATGTGGGTAAAGTGTACAAGCTTTCATGTGTTTGCATCTTTCTCTATGTTATTCCCATTTTTGATTACTAAAGAGTCTTAATGAGTTTGTGGAATCTGAAGGGTGGAGATTGTAAAAATGAATAGACTTTGAAATCTCACCTCATCATACATACAAGTGACATACTGCATATAATATTGGAAATTTTAGTTTGTTAAACACCAAATAAGATTACCGGTTTGTGTTGCACAATTATCAAGGTAGCTATGACATGTTGTCCTCTTGATGCAACTTTCCATTTTTGTGAGACACAGTGCAATAATCTGACTGTTGCTGTGAGCTCTGCTCATATCTGATATAATATGTGCAGTCAGAGAAACAGCAATGATGAAACAGAACAGGGGTTCAGCTCATGAGGTGTGATGAAAATGGGTAAATAAAATTAAATAAAACCTGGTGGAATACGGTTAGTTTTGCATTGTGCCGCTTTCAAAAAAGATTCTCCCTTGAGAGTTAAAATTCATTAAAATCTTAATTTGAATGCATTTTCTCACCTTCTGTGATAAAAGTTGGCTTGTACCTCACATTCTGCTGTGTTGAAAAATCTTCTATTTTATGTTTAGTCCGTTTCTGACTGAGGATACTGTATACCCTGGCAGAATTGGAATGAACTCCGACCATTCAGCCACTAAAATATTCTTGGCTTGAAACCATGTGCTCTGCAAACACAGACTGTGTCCAAATATCACATTCTGGCTGCCTGCATTCAGGACCATCTGGAAGATGTGGCATCAGTTTGATGAAGGCTTTTAACAGTTTCACTTACATGCCAAACAGACATGGTTTAGTATAAAATTGTACTTCCACCCCAGGTATTTTTTTTTTGCATTGACTCCAGTCATCCCAAAGGG